AAGGAAGTTTCCTCTATCATTTAATTAATAAAGTCATAGTTTTAAATTTTAAAACTCAAAATATGCTGCATATTTATCATAGAATAGGTTGATAATGATACTTTTCTACAAACTGGCAAGACATTTAAAAGTTCACAGAATTTTATTATTTAAAAAAAATTTTTTTTTGAAGTCAAGGTCTCACTCTGCTGTCCAGGTTGGCCTGAACACCCTATAAAGACCAGGTTAGCCTTATACTCACAGCAATTCACCTGCCTCAGTTCCCAAGGGATGAGATTATAGATGTGACTCTCCATGTCCAGCACCATAAAAATTCTTTACAAGAGTAAGTCATAAACCAAAGAGTATATTCCCACATAACTTAGTTAATTCTAAGGAACTGAAACCAGTGGTTTCTTCGGGTTTCTGGAGGTTCTTTGCTTGTGCAAGGGTGAGCCTGCATTTGCGATGTGAGTTTGGGCTTCTCACCAGCTTACTGTGAATTGATGCACTTTGATTACCGAAGAGCTTGTAGGGACAAAGGTAAGACTGCATGGCCACATAAGTGCAGTTACTGTTCATGTTTCAAAATGGAACACATGGGGCTGGAGAGATGGCTCAGAGGTTAAGAGCACTGACTGCTCTTCCAGCGGTCCCGAGTTCAATTCCCATCAACCACATGGTGGCTCACAACCATCCATTATGAGATCTGGTGCCCTCTTCTGGTGTGCAGATATACATGGAAGCAGAATGTTGTATACATAATAAATAAATAAATAAAGGAACACATTTTCCAACTCACTTAAAAAGCCTGAAAAATTAAAGTATAGAAAGAGAATTCAAGGTCTATAGCAACAGGAGTAGTGTTGATAACAAGGAAATTGCATTGGTAAAGTTCTATCAGCGAAAAGGTAAGGAAAATTCTGCCAGGGAGGGGCTGTTGTTTATATGAACCAGTACGGGGCAGGGCACACACAGACCACACATCAAAACCTGGGTTCCAATTAGAACCTGACTCTGAATTTGCTTCTGACAGTATGGTAATGCAAAATAAGTCTTCCTTTTACAGACTAAAAGGCTGACAAGTGGCCTACCTGATGGGGCCACACGTCCCCCACTCCACATCCCTCAAACTAACAGATCAAAATAAGAACCTGGGGTGGGAAGGAGCCACCAACCCAGGGTCCCCACGTCCTGTCACCAAGTCCTTCTGCTCTTTCCATCCCTGCCAGTTATCCTACGAGTCGATCTGATTTATCATAGACAATTTTGACATTCCTATATTTGCAGGCAGGAAAACTTTCAACTCCAGAAATTTTAATGAAAATTGTGTGGAAATGGCCAAACTGTTACGTAGCTTTAAATAAAAACAATCTGAATGGTAAGTCTAGATTATTGCAAATGTCCCAGAATAGAATAGAATAGAATTATAGAATAGACCACCAATCGGACGGAGTTCTAGGTCAGGGGAGGAGGTAAAAGATGAAGAACTCTGATGCTTGGCGCTGCTGCAGAAGGTCATGAGGGCCAAGGGAGCATCCTGGAAGGACTCAGCCAGCCACTCTGTTTTCCATCGCCAGTTTCCTCATCTGTCTACACCACAGGCACGGGTGAGACCGTCCACTGCTGTCACCTCCATCTCTTCTACTTCACTTTCGCTTGGTCCCGTTACTTCTACCCATGGATACAATTCACGCCCCGAAGGTGCCAGGGCTTTTCTGAGTCTGCTTCTGGATACGGCGAGGACATAAGCACAGTGATGGCCAGGGCCAGCAGGTCAAGAAGCCAGTGTCAGCATTGCTGATAACGCATGTCATTCATCTAAATGGAGACTGTGCACTGAGCAAATGCTTCCAAGTGCCAGGAGACCCTGAGCAGCAGAGGCAGGTCCCTGGCACTCTGCTTTTACCCTTTTTTGGTTTGTTTTGTTTTAGTGTACTACGTTTTAAAGTGATTGATCAATATGACTTGAGAGGCATTTGGAGAACTTTCACAGAAATTAAAGCTGCCAAAGCAAGACAAATTTAAATTACTTCCCTGGCAATGGATTATGTTCAATATATTTCTAGGTAAAATTGGGAAAATGCTGCAGGAAATATAACAGCATATATTCTCCCACCAAAGGAGAAAATGAAAGGGGGCAGGATCTGTGATGCTGAGGTTTGGAGAAGAAGGTATGGTTACACCAGGGACCTAGAACGGAGCCTGCAGTCCCAGCAGAGGCCTGCAAAAGCACAATAAACTGACAGTCAGTACTTCCGCAGTCAGTCCCCCTACACATACAGTGCCTGGGTCCAGTTCTCAGTCCTCTTCTGTTATCAAACACAGTTTTTCTTGTTTTCACTATAGCAGTCTATACAAAGATAACTCTGAAATTTATATTCCAGATCAGACCTCTCTCTTGAACTTCTGACCCATCAATCATGGTAAATACCTCTCAAACTGATGATGTATGCAATTCAATAAAATAAAATTACCAACGCAGACTTGAAAATCATGTCAAAGATAATAGCAGTGTTGCAGGGGATTTGTTCCCTGGCTCTCTAAGAATGCCAATAAAGTTAAATCTAGAATCAAAGGGCAGAGTCAATGTTCACCTGGCCAGAATTAACCATAGAGATGTTGGATGACCTGGCGGGCAGGGCAGAGTCAATGTTCACCTGGCCAGAATTAACCATAGAGATGTTGGAGGACCTGGCGGGCCAGACAGAGAGATGCACAATAAGTAACGGGAGATTTGGAAATTTGTGGGTGGTTTTGATCCCAGGAAACTTGGAGAATGAGGCGAGACAATCGTTTTCTCAGCGGCTCTTTGGATTTATCAGCTTTTGTCCCAATTTGTGACTACCGAGTTTTTATTAATAATAGAAAAATTGAGATAAACACCTCATCTGGTCTCTAACACGGGCATTATTAGATCTTGCCAGGGTGGCTAGGCCACCACCTCTTCAGCTGCGGCTGGTTTTCCCTCCCTTCCCTCAGGCCCTCCGTGACTCCTTGGGCTTTTCTACAGCAGTCTCAGGCCGCTACCTACCTACCTACCCCTAGACCCAAATACTGCAGGCAGCTGGGCCCCAAACAATGCCGGCTGCCAGCTGGCTGTCATTCAGGCCACCCTGTACCCTCACATATTGTGCGACCTCAACTACACAGGGCAGGAGCAGCTACCCTCAATCTGGCCTTGCATTGCTTGTTTTCTCTGCCCAGCAGCAACTACCCTCAACCTGGCTGTAAATAGCTCGTATTCTCTGCCCAGCATGACGCCTAGCGACAGCCTCAGGCCTAGCAACAGCCATGTACCCTACCTGCCCCCCCATCAGCTGAGTGCAGCCACCACAGATGGCTATCCTTGCACAGCTCCACCTTCCAGTCATCAGCAGATCTGGTGAGACACCTGGGGACTCTTAAAGAGGTAAATAGGTTTTTAAAAAAGTCTTTCCCACGTTAAGAATGAGGAACAATATTACCATTCGGGGAATTAGGATTCTGTATGGTTCCACAATGGATGGTTTGAAATTGAAAAATAATAATAATAATAATAATAATAATAATAATAATAATAATAATAAATGAAGAAATAACTGGCATAGTTGGGATTGATGTAATACTGATTATAATTATTATCAGTTTCAGAATTAATGTTTTATCCTTAAAAAGGTGGTTTGATATCTGTGCCAAGTATGAAAAATGGACCTACCATTGAAACTAAGAAAAGTATTCACACTAGCTAAGACATGTGGACGGCTGTCAGCAAATGCTGGAAGCCGGGAAAAGGCAAGGAGAGCATCTTTCCTAGAGACTTCTGAGGAGGCATGACGCTGTGACCCCTTGACTTCAGACTTCTGGCCTGCAGATCTGTGAGAGAATCTGTGTGTTTGAGCTGCCTGGTTTGCGGTGTCTTACTACCATGATGTGGTCCTGAGAAGTTAGCACAATCCTATAGGACTGGAGGCATCAGCTGGTCTCTCACACAGCAAAAGTGCCACACATTTTCACACGCCTGAATGAAAGTACCTAGATTCACATTCTGATCTTGTTTGATGTAGATTTTGCAGGAGTACATTTTAACAGTACGCTAGCTTGGGATAACAGTTGTAAGTTACAATGACTTATTTTTTAAAAAAAAATGGTGTGTGTAAGAGTATATGGTGGGGTGGAGACAAAAGGGAGAAGTGGGGAGCTGCACTTAAGTGGACCTTGATTTCCAACCAAGAATCCGCCAACCTGGCTAAACATGATACAGCAGAGTCCGGAAGCCACAGAAGGCAAGACTCACTATCTGGTTTCCCATAGTACTATTGTATATTATCTTCTGCCTAGAAACCATCTTTACCTACTGTTGAGAACATGAACCAGCAGTTCCCCAGTTTTATCCTGTATAGAGATTCCCCTGAGGGAGATAAACTCCATTCTCTGGGCCTGCAAGTGCAAGCATCCAAGACTCTGACAGCCTGAGTTTTATTCACTGCCCTCTTCAGAGCTATCTGATACAGAACTATGCTGGGCAATTTCTACAGAAAAAGATGAAAGATCGCACAAGGAGCAACTCTTCTTCAATAAAGATGTGATTTCACCTTTATTTTTTATTCTATTTTCTTACTTCACTTTTTTTTATCTCACTGATTAAAATGCTAAAATTAAGTTATCAATAGGGAATAGAAAAATTATTTTAAAGGTGAATACAAATGTGATTTGAAGATAAGTGACCACAGATATAAGTAAGATAAATATAGTGCATTAATAAAGAACTTTGATGAAGACCCAAGAAGTATAATCCTGAATGCTTTATATATGTAACTATACATCAATTGTCATAATTGAAATTCAATGAAAGCCAGTTTTCTCTAAAAATAATAATATAAGAGAGTAAGAGGTACTTTTAACTTGAAAATTTAAAGTAATTTTTATCTCTGGTACACAATTTATTGCCTATCATGGGCAGGGCATTGAAATACCATGAAATTATTTTCAGGCAATTGAACTCGATGGACAACTTGCCACTTATAGAGATGATCACGTACCTCAGGAGGAGAGTCTCTCTTGGTTCGAGCATGTTCAAAAGATTCAATTTTCTTGGCACTCATTTCATCAGAGTCAGCGATGACATAGTGCCTAGGTGAGTAAGCCCCGGACAAGCTTCCAACCAGCCTCAGAATCTCAGTGGTATGTCCACCTAGAAACAGATGCAATATGGCCTAAGATTAAGAAACACCAAGGGATGGGTCATTGGAGAGGTCTCTAAGTGGTCAAGACTTGTTGCCCTTGTCTTTCATGCCCATCCTTCACTCCAGTTCCAGGGGACCAGGCACCCCTTCCGCCCTCTATTGGCACCAGGCATGCACATGGTACACATACACACAGCCACTCATACTTAAAGTAAATCTAAGAAAAAAAGGGAGAAGAATCGAATATAGGCTGGAGAGATGGCTCAGTGCTTAAGAGAGTGTACTTCTCTTGAAGAGGACCCAAGCTCAGTCCTGAGCACCCATGTTGGGCAACTCCAGCCTCAGGGAATCCGATGCTTCCATGGTCACCTGCACACACATGCACAGCATTAAAAATAAATCTTAATTTAAAAATGTAACCTACCATGGACACATGGAAACATCTCGCCACATTATATCAGTGTCATGCTTTTCAGGGGTGGGGAACTAATGTAAACGCATATTTCCTCAAAGACATGTGAATAGGAACATAGAAAAACAATCTATGCCCTTGTATAAGTACTGATTTTATACAGAAGATAATAAATGCATTTAAAAACTGCTACTATCATTAAAAAAATAAGGATGGTACATGGAATTATAGACACTTTGTTGATTTCCTGAAATCAAGAAAGAGGGTCGGGAAAGGAGAAGATACACATATATACACATAAAGAGAATGTACAGCAGGAAAGAAAGCCACTAAAATGGGATCGCAAAGGGCTGTGAAAAAAAAAAAAAAATCCGGGCTGGAGATATGGCTCAGGGGTTAAGAGCACTGACTGTTCTTCAGGAGGTTCTGAGTTCAATTCCCAGAAACCATGTGGTGGCTCACAACCATCTGTAATGTGATCCGGTGTCCTCTTCTGGCATGCACTGTATACATGATAAATAAATAAATAAATCATTAAGAAAAAAAAAACAAAACAAACAAACTGCCTGCTTTGGAAACTCGGGGCTGTTCTCTTCCCAGGGAACGACCCCAAGGTGGGGGGGGGGAGAACCAATGCCCTCAAAACAAGAATGACCCTGGAAAAAAGCTAAGAAGACTTGGAATGTAAAAACAACAGATGGACAGGAGCAGGAGGCCTTTGGGCAGAGGCAGGATGTCAGAAGAGAGAAAGAGCTGAGCTGTTTTCATGGGGCAGCGGGAATTCTGGGAATAAGGGTAGAGGTGGAGTCAGGTCAGGCAAGCAGGATGAAGAGAAGACAAGTGGTTTCTGTGTGGAGAAGTGACTTAATGCTCTGACATCAGGGTGTAAGCTTCTTAGCTGGCTACTCTAGCCTCAGAAAACTGCTGGCCACTCTAAGCTCAGGTCGTAGCAGAGGTCTCAGCACACCGAGGTCTTTAACTGGTGATCAGTTCCACTACAGGAGTCTATATTCAGTTTCTTAAATTAGGCTAAAAAACGTTAACACTTTATTCACAAAACCACGACTTTAAAAATCAATTACAGTGGGTGCTGGAGAGATGGCTCAGCAGTTAGGAGTTCTCCCTGCTCTTGCAGAGGACTGGAGCTCAGCTCCCAGCAATCATAGGGAGTGACTCACAACTGCCTATAACTCCAGCTCCAGGGGATATGACACCCTCTTCTAACCTCCCAGACCACTCTACACACACACACACACACAACACACACACACACACACACACACACACACACACACACACGTACACATTAATTTTAAAAAAGACGTTTATTAAAAAAATCAATTACAGTCATCCCCTCAGGACTTGTGGGGCACAGGGTTCTGGGTCCCCCACAGAACCCCAAATCTCCATGTGTTCAAATTCATTACAAGTAAATTGTGTAAAATGTGTAATTTACAGGTAAATTACATATCACCTACACACTTCCTCCTATATATTTTAAATCATTCCATAACTGAAATCGAATATCCACCACAAACCAGTTAAGCTATGCAAGCCAACTCCCTATCAGCTGTAACGGTTTGGGCTTTATTTCACAAGCTCTGTGGTTGAGCCAGGCCAACCCCTTTAACATTTGCTACACTCATCTCATTGCATGCTCTTTGCTTTGGTTATGTTGTATCTCTTAGAGAGCCTCTTTATCCCTGCCCCTTTGTTGTTCTACCAATGAATTAAATAAGGCATGAACACACAGAAAGATAAGCACACAAAATATGTGTTTTCCCTCATCAGGTATTTTAATGGGAGAAAGATCGCTTTTCCAGGTTCTAGAATGAATTAGAAAGGAATGTGGCATAGCTGTAGCATGCACTTCAGGAATTAGAATCACACATTAAAAACTTTATAATTTGCCACTTGTCTTCTTCCCTGGGGCACGTGACTGACACACCTGCTTTGTAACTCATTTTAGTATTTTCATTTGGGGTCTTAAAAAAGTAGGGGCTGGAGATATTGCTCAGGGGTTAAGAGCACACTGACTGTTCTTCCAGAGGTCCTGGGTTCAATTCCCAGCAACCACATGATAGCTCACCACCATCTGTAATATGATCTGGTGCCCTCTTCTGGCACGCACTGTATACATAATAAATAAATAAATAAATCTTTAAAAAAAAACCAAAGTGTTGTCGTTTGCCAAGTAGATTCCCTGCCCCCTAAAATGGAACAGTTAATGATACAACCTAATATCCACAATGAAATGGGAGCTCCATAAGACTTACTGGAATACTCTCCCTTCTGTTATTTAAAGGAAACCCTCATTGAAAATTTAACCTGGATACTAAGTGAAGTCACTAAAATCATTGACCCTGTTACTAAAGTCATTAAAATGATTGACTGACTCTGTTACTTAGGGCCTACTTTACTCTTTTATTGTATTAGGAGAGGGGCCCTGAGAAGATGGCTCAGTGGTTAAGAGCACTTACTGCTCTTCCAGAGGACCCAGGTTCATTTCCAGCAGCCACACTAGGCAGCTCAAAACCACAAGCAACTCCAACTACAGGGGATCTGACAAAGTCTTGTGGCCTTTGCAGGCATGCACGTGCGCGCACACACACGCACACATGTGTGGACATATAAACACACAAGCACATACACACACATAAATAAAAATCTTTTTTTAATGGGAGGATAAAATCCTTTTAGTAGATGGGCATCCACACAAACATACAAATATATACACATAAATAAAAATAATCTTTAAAAAAGGAGAGATATATTGGAGAATAACATTAACTGATAAAATAATATTAGGCTACACCTTAAAACACACCTAACATCCAATCACTTCTTTATTTTCTAATTTTTAAAGATTTATTTAATGCGCATGAAGGTTTTTGTTCCCATGCATATCTGTGTACCATTTGATTACCTGGTGACCACGGAAGTCAGAAGAGAGTGTTGGATCCTGCCATGCTCTGCACAGCTCCTGGGATTGACCTAACTGGTTGGTGAGGGAATGAGGAAAGGATAGACATGCAGATACACATACAGAAAAGCTGGAATTGGTTGGTCTGGGCTTTCTGATGAAGAAGCTGCAGGGCCCCAGAAACTCATAGTGTTTACCATTCATAGCTGAACAGGAAGGAAGAGTTATTACAAGGAGACAGGGCTGCTATATACAGCTGAACAAAGAGGCAAGATTAGTTCTGTAGGAACAGTATCTATAGGGGAGCAGTTTCAGGCTATAAACCTTGGGGTGGGAGGACCTGCAGTGGATATTTTCTGCATACTATATCAACGTTCCAACTAGGACCAGAGAAAGGCTTTGTCATCCCTCTGCACTTCACCTAGGCTTGGCTGCTACCATGGAGCTGAGACATTGGGGTCCTTGATGCATGTATTAGTTAGGGTTGTTTTTGTTTTGTTTTGTTTTGTTTTGCTGTGAAGAGACACCATGACCACAGCAACTCATGAAGACCTTTCGTCCATTAAAGTTATGGTGGGAAGCATGGTGGCATGCAGGCAGACATAGTGCTGGAGAGGTAGCTGAGAGTTTTACATCTGGATCCACAGGCAGCAGGAAGACAACACCGAGCCACTAGACCTGTCAAGAGCTTCTGAGACCTCAAAGATCATTGCTAGTGACACACTTCCTCCAATAACCCCACACCTACTCCAACAAAGCCACACTTCCCAATAGCGCCAGTTCCTATGAGCCTGCAGGGCCATTTTCATTCAAACAACCACAATATGACCCAACTACATCAACAATACACGGTCACTCAGGACTTCACTGAATCCCTACAAGATCTGTGGAACTGGAGTTACAAATGGCTGTGAGTCACCAAATGGGTTCTAGGACTCAAACTCTGGCCTCTGCAAGAACAAGCCCCTCTTGAGCTGCTGAGCCACCCCTCCCGCCCCTCCGGCCACTTCTTACCTCCTCCTTTGCTACCATCTCACTCTAAGCCACCCTCACATCAATTATGAATAAGGCTTTATATAGATCATATCCCCACTTCCTCTTCCTTTACTTCTCAAGGCTATTTTCATCACTACATCCAGTGTGTTCCTACTTAAAAAAAAAATTGATAAATATTTTAAGTCTGCTCAAAAGTCCCAGTGGCTTTGCATCTCACTGGAAATAACTTGTGCTTCTTATATGAGATTTTAGTCCTCTATGTGGTAACTACTCATTTTGTTTCATCTTCTGTTAGCTTTTCTATTTCATTCGCTGCTGGATCTCTGTCCTTCTCCTAGTGCTTGGCACATAGATATCCACTCTGTGGCAAATGCTACTTGTCTTGTTTTATTGTACTTATTCGATTTTCAGTTTTGTTTTTTCCACAGCTCAGTTTAGTGTCTGGCCTTTCCCATGACTCAAAATGTGTTAAGTAAATAAGAAATTATAATTGGATGTAAGTTTGGTACATTTGCTTATACGATAAACATTATTTCTTGTATGTAGTTATTCATTACATAATGATGCTTTAGTCAATGATAGCATACTTGACAATGGTCTCAGGAGATTAAAAGGGAACTGAATGATCCTTATTGCCTAATGACACGAACACCAGCAAAGCATAGCAACCCAAGGTAACCTATGTAGTGCTATATGAACAAATTTACTGTGCTGCCTATCATATAAAAAAGTACAACATACACTATTAATATTCAGTACCTAACACTTTATAATGATAATACACAACTACATTACTGGCTTATGGAATTTTTATTAGAGTGTTCTATTTTTAAAAGTTTACTGTAAAACTGTAAGCCTAATTGCATAGGCAGCCTTAAACACCTCAAATTCACTGTGTCTCTTGACCGCATGATTTTCTATTAGGCTTGATTTAGTTTTGTTTTCCTGACCCTGGAGCAACAGACTATACCATATGTATTCCAGATGGCATTGATGTATAGGACTGGGGATCCCCTTGGTTGTGTAAAGTCGTGTTTAACTATACTCAAGTTAAAATTGCTCATCTTATTTTTTCTTCTTTTTCATGTAAAATTTTAAGTTTAATTTCTTTAAATTTCAGATTGAAAATTTAAATTTATTTTTTTTTGATTTTTAAAAAATTACTCTGAGGGTATTGCTGTATGGAATGTCCACCTTTTTATACTAAAGGACTTCTTAGCACATTTATGTGTGACAACTCTGCCTCGTTTACTACATAATGTTCACGTTTCTTAAACTAAATACAAAAGGTCTGGATTAATAACGTACGGCAGCAAAGAGGCCAACGTGTATCAGCATCGAGAGACTTCAGCGTACTCGGTCGCTAATTATTTGTTAGAAAGCTGTACGCTTTAGAGAGGCTTAATTACAGACAAGTGTAGATTACTTGTCTTAATGGCTAGGCGGCTGGGTTGGCTAACCAGCCTTTTTCCTTGTCTGGGCTGACCGGTTCCGGGAACGCAAAAAAACTACAAATCTCAGCATGCAGCGCTCGTAAAGGTGCTAAGACGGCCGAAGAGCCTCGCGATGCACTCTGGGGTTTGTAGTGCCGGACACGAACACGGCGGCTACCACCCGGATACTTACCGGATCCAGCTACTATCAAGGGTGTGAGAGACTCTCGGGAAACGACGTGAAGGGGCCGAATGACCGCCCATAGTCTCACGACTAGCAGCAAGATCACCACAGTTGCCGCTGCGGCAGCTAGAATCAGGAGGCTCACCATGCAAAGGGATGGCGCATGCGTAGTATTTCCGGCGCCGGCGGTCAAAGTTTGCAAGAACGCTGGTAAAGTGGAAACGCCGATTGAAGCTCCCCTCTGTGGGCGGGGCTTGTCTGCGCTGGGCGGAGCTTGATGAGTTGGGCGGTCAAAGTTCAGAAGTGCAGCTCTGATTGGAAAACGCCGAGCGACGCGTCGGTCGCGTCTCGTGGGCGGGGCTTGTCCGTGATAGGCGGGGTTAAATTCAGGCTGGAGCCAGAATCCAGGATACTAGGAATGGTTGAGGTTGGTGGCACACTGCTTTAATCCCAGTCCTCGGGAGGCAGAGGCAGGCGGATCTCTGTGAGTTCGAGGCCAGCCTGGTCCCCAGAGCGAGTGCCAGGATAGGCTCCAAAGCTACACAGAGAAACCCTGTCTCAAAAAACAAAACAAAAAAGGGATATGCTGCAGTTATTCACGCCTAATCTGAAATTGAGAGGTTAATTGCTGGAGAAGTTTGATTTCCTCAGTGACCAGGTCAGGCTACGTGTACACTAGAAGAGCCATGAAGCCCTGGGTTAGTAGCTGCCCCAGCTCTGCCAGTTTGTGCCTGAGGTACACTGCATACATCATTACTTCTTTCCTTTCTTCCTCCCTTCTTACAAGACACTTGGGTTCCACAGACAGACAGAACGGAAAATGTTTGCCATTCAGAGGCATACCCTTAGGGGGGAAACATTCAAATCTGCCCTTTCCCAACGTTCATGTTTTTACTTTCTAGACAATGTTACAGATCTTGAACTATGACCATAATCGTGATGCCTTCAAACTATGTCATACTCCTGGGAGCAGTGAAAGCTCCTTGGCTTCAGAGAGCAAGAGGAGGAAGGCCTAGTCTTACAGTCAATAGTTAATTTTACCACAAGGCTTGTTCCACTGAAACGATAGAATTGCCAGTGCCTTCTCCAATCTCAGTTGTGCATGTGCTTGTCTCTACTTAGCCTAAGTTATAGCAAAATAAAACCTCTTGACACTAAATGTTATTTTCCTTCAGACCCTCATAGGGCTGCAGGTTAGATAGGGCAGACATGCAGATGAGTAAGACAGGTCCAGAAAGGTCCTAAGTGTAATAGTATCATCTAGAATTAGAAGCCGTAAATCCTAACTCCTGCTGCTAAGAATGCTGCATCGTATACTCCTTTGCTAAACTCAGTTTTGGTTGGTGATCACATTTACCCACAGCCTAGAATCCTTTTGGAATTGATAACAGATCATAAGTTCCAGGACGGCTCTTGAGATCCTCCTATAAAAGCAGATGTATTGGTTCCTGAGTCAGCAGTCAGGCGTAGGAGACTTCCTGACCAGCTCTATCTGATTGTAGGCCTCACAGCACTTTGCCTATGGGCTCTTTCATCAAGCCCTCTTGACCTCATTCTTAACAATCAGGTCCTAAGTAGATGTTATTCTTTGCATTACAAATGGACAAATAGATTACACAAAAGTTAATTTGTCTAAGGTTACTTATGTGATGAAAAGCCATAGTTGATGACCTAGAGGTCAGTGTCTGTCAAATTTGGATGCAATGAGGATGCTGCAGATTTAGACATACATCATTGGAAGCCAGAGGCAGGGCCTCTGGCGAGTACGACAGTAGGACTCAGGTGCCAGGGAGATGGTTCAGTGCCAGCTGGGCAAGCATGAGGATTCGAATTTTGATCCCCAGCACATAGAAAAGCCAAGCATAGTGGAGGATCTAAGGGCTTTGAGCCAATCAGTGAACTCCAGGTTCAATGGAAGACCCTGTCTCCCCCACCCCCACCCCAAAGAAAAATAAGGCAAAGGGGCTGGAGTGATAGCTTAAGGGCACTGGCTGCTTTGTCAGAGCACCCAAGGTCAATTCCCAACACCCACTTGGTGACTCACAATTAAATGCCACTCTGGTTTTAGGGAATCAGACTCCCTCTTCCAACCTCTGCAGGCTCATAAATGGTACCTAGAAATAATTCAGGCAAAATGCCCATACTTATAAAAACAAATTCTTAAAATAAGAGTAAGGCAGAGAACCAAGTGAGGAAGATGATGCTGACCTCTGGCCTGCTCACATGCGCACAGGTGCACTCACTAATATGCACATGGTCACACATAGAAGAAAAGACTGGTTCAAGAATATCACAAAGTGTCATGTTGTGTCCTTTTCTTCCACTGCCTTCTTTGCCATTCTTCAATGTGGCTTTAATCTAAGGCTTGCTTCGTATTTAAGAAAAGATACTAGTGGCCAGGCATGGTGGTGCATACATACCTTCAACACTCAGGAGGCAGAGGAGGGTGGATCTCTGCGAGGCCAGCTCCGTTCTACATGTTGATTTCCAGGCCAGCCAGGGCTACAGAATGAGAGTCCTTGTTTCAAACAAGCAAGCAAACCAAAAGCCAGAAATCACTCCACACAAGGCAATCACACCACACAGCCTTAAGAAGCTGTTATGTTGTTATTGGGTCTGTGTTATGAGAAATATGTCTTTTCAGAACCCCTCATGGAAGAGTTTCTTTCAATATTTTAAGCTAAATTTATATCACCCATACATGAAATGAAGTAGACCCCAAAGCTGCTGGAGATCGGAATATGGAGGGTGACATAAAATTCTGATATGGTTTGTGGCCATTAAATGGAGGATAGGTATGGCTTGGAAGCTAAAGGAGAGGGGGTTGTTTTCATAGGCAGTTGTGGTGTTTGGGTTGGTGTGAAGATGTGTGTTTGTAAACCAACATATGCACTGCAGTTGACAGGCATATACTAATTACACGGCCCAGGTCCCAAGCTCCATATTAAGGAAGACTTAACATGGAAAGGATACTGTAACGCTTCCCATTACCTTATCCTCCTGTCCCCTCATTAATATAATTCCTGTAACTGTGGAAAAATTCAGTTTGACCATAACTGGGAGATGTGGACAGTGAAGCATTTGGGAGCTACCAGTTAGGCCATTAATCAAATAAAGTAGAGACAATGTCTGATGTGTGAGGTGGCTTATATTACTTGTCAACATGACAGTATCTAAAATGACCCATGAGACAAGCCTTTGGGCATGCCGATCCCAATTTAGACCAGTAAGATCCACCTTAATGGCGAGCTGCCCCATTCCATGGGCTGGGATCCTGGGCTGCATAAGGAGAGAAGGATCTGGATGCCAGCATTCATCTGTGTGACTGCAGATGAGGCTACCTCACCTTCCCGCCATTATGGCTTCTCTGACACAGGCTAGAAGATTACCTGATACTGTGAGCTAGAGTAAACCCTTTATTTGGTTGTTTTTGTCAGGTGGCCTGTCTCAGCAACAAGACCAGTAACTAATACAGAGTTACTGAGTTATTCTGAGTTATTGAAAGGGACTGTTTTCCTGTCAAGGACTTTAAGGCCTACAGGAATGAGTTAAATAGGCAGAGGCAAGAGCAAGTGGAGGCTTCCTGAACAGTCGGCCAAATAAGCAGAATCCTGGGCTGTGATAGAATGTGTAGAATAGAATCAAGAGGTCAGTAACCTATGATGGGTTATTGGGCAGTTAAGACTGAGCCGAAAGAAGCAACAAAAGATTTCCTAAGGTCAGTCAGACTGACACATTGATAGCAGATTCATGGTCCTTGGGGTGGGGGAACACAAGAAAACATGAATGGTTGACAAAATGAATAATTCGTGATTCATACCAATCATTAAGGTTGTCTGGGAAGTTATTATTCTTAAGTCTGTTCACTGGACTTTCTTGACAGAAACTTGGCAGTTCACACTCTCAGCGTCAGCCCTTGGGAGATAGGTAGGGAAGAGAGGATAACAAATTGGCAACATGAGATTGTTTCTCAAAACTACAGAAAGAAGCTATTTTCTAGAGTTCCTATTGCAAATATCTAATATTCAGGCATACTTTTGAAGTTTTTACAAAGTTGGATTTTTTTCAGTATTCTATGGGATTGTATGTGTGAATTTAGTCAGCATATTTATTGTATATCTGAGAAGGGCTGCAAGATTGTAGGTGCAGGTCATCTCATATTAGCAGGACAATGGCCAGGCAAGGATCTTGGACTACAGAAGATGACAGAGGACGTAGCTAAGGATAGATTTGAAATATATTTTATGTATGAAGTCAGTAAAACTAATGGATTAGATACTGGAGATTTAAAAAAAAAAAAGAGGAATCAGGATAACACCAAATTTTTGGTTTCAAAATTGGGGAGATGGAGGCTTCAGAGATGGCTCCATGTTGAGAACATTAGCTGCTCCTACAAGTAGTCTGTTAAGACACCCAAGTACTTATATGAAATAGGCTGTTTTATGTTCGAACCTGAAGCTTGGGTCAGATTGTAGGTATAAATTTAGAACTCACCGGCATATAGATGAATTATGAACCATGGAGCTGGGTGAGATCACTAGAGAGCTCAGACATTCCTGTCCAGTCCCGCTGTCCATGATAATGGAAGTATCTGTATTTGTACACTGTTTACATGTGCCCAATGAGCACTTGAAATATGGCTGGGCAACTGAACTGGATTTTTAATTTCATCTCATTGTGTTCTAGTATTATAAACTTAAATGGACACCTATGACTAGTTGTGTTCATTCTCCCACGGCGGTGACAAATACCTGATAAATTCAATTTAAGGAAGAGTTTAGTCTGGCACATGGTCTGAGGCTACAGTCCATCTTGGTAGGAAGAGAACACATGGTAACAGGAGCGTGAGGCAGGTGGCATTTGCAGTCAAGAACCAGAGACAGATGATTGCTCATTCTTAACTTGCTTTTTTGTGTCCATCCAGTCTGAGACTAAGTCCATGAAATAGTGGCACCCTTAGTTCAGGTGAGTATTTCCACCTCAGCTAACCTAACCAACATCACAAGCCTGCCTAGAAGCTTGTCTCCTACAGGTTTCTAGATGCTGTTGTCAAGCTGACAACCAATATTCATCACCATACAAGTGGACACTGCATCAGACAGCACAGGGTAAAGAAGAGTCTGGGTTGCTACCACTTAAAGGAGTAGGGGAGGCTGAGAAATAAAAAAAAAAAATGGAGATGGAAAAGTCTTAGGAGTGGGAGGAGTCTCAGGAAAGAGTGGTGGAGTGTTGTGAATGAGAAATGTCCCCCATAGTGTCGGGCATTTCA